TTGCAATACTGGGCACACTGGAATCATAGCTGCAGTGGTCTCTGAGGGATCCTGTGGCTCAGCATGGTAAAACAACTTCCTAGCCTCTCCCCTCATGCAAACAGAGTGCCCTCATGATCTAATCTCAAAGGAATTTTCCCTTTTAGACTCTTGAGTCCACAATGGATGTGGTCATACAAATTCCGGAGATGCCCTTAAACCATTTTTCCTACTGTCTATGTGCAAAATACTAAGTGTCTCTTTAGGGGTTATAATCTCTTTAACAACTGTGCCTTACTTGGTCCCAGCTTTAAATGAACTTTTTTGGTCAAACTACAATTTTAAAAAATCTTTTTTTGTTTGTTTTGTTATTGTTGCTGGGGATTGAACCCGGGGCCTTCTACCAACTAAACTAAACTATCCCCGGCCCTAAAAAAACCCCAAAAGACAAAAAACAAACAAAACAAAACAAAAAAACCCTTTTAATTCTGTTTCTTCCTCCTGATGCTCATAGTAAACCTAGCTAAAAGCCGCCAGCAATATCCAGGCCACTAACTAAATGCTGGGCTGCCTTGAAATTTCCTCTGCCTGATTAATCAACCCATCACCTTTAAATTCAACTCACATAAAGTCTCCAGACATGGGCAAAACATAGCCAAGGTCTTTTCTGGAATATGAATGAATGGTTTCTAGTCCAATTCCTAATAGGGTCCTTGATTCTTTCTGAAACCTCGTGAGCGTGGTTCACTTTCTCATTGGCATTCTGGTCTTCTGAGCTTCCGTCAGAATGGCCCATTAAGTTTTGCTAACCACATTCTAAAGCTTTTCCCAGTTTGCATCTCATAAATTTCCAAAACTTAAGCTGCCAGCCAGCTCCAATGGCTTCTGAACCACAGGGTCAGGTTAGCCACAGCCATGATCCCACTTCTCAGTACCAATTTCTGTTTCAGTTAGCATTTGCAATCCTGTGACCAAAATACCCAACAAGAACAACTTATAGGAGGAAAAGTTTATTTGAGGCTCATGGTGTCAGAGGTCTCAGTCCATAGATGGCCAATTCTATTGTTCTGGGCCCCAGGTGAGACAGCACAATCATTGTGGAATGGTCCAGCAGAGGAAAACTTCTCAGCTTGTGGTGGAGTCAGGAAGCAGAGAGAAAGAGGGAGAGGAGGGGACACAGGAAGAACAACCCTCTGTTACCACCCAGTGAGCCCATTCATACCAGGATGGCCTGATTAGATTTCAGCTCTCACAGTCTAATCATTTTACCTCTGAATATTCCTGCATTAACAGGGGCTTTTGGAAGACACCTCTTGTTCAAACCATGACCCACCCTGTCTCTCACCATGTGAAGTCCTATGTCACCTTGGAAATCTGCCAGAAAGAAAGCCAGCACCAGATGCAGCCCACTGACCGTGGGTCAGATTTGTAAGCCAAAAGAGTCATCAGTTTCTTTGGAACCTACCCACTCTCCAGTATTTTATTATCATCAGTAGAAAACAGACTAACACAGGTAGTATAGTCCATCTAAACCTAAGTGCTCTAGGGACATGGCCCCAAAGAGGTGTACATATCCAAATATGAGTATTAGAGTTCATCAGTATTTCAAATATTTCTAATATTGCTCTGTTGTTCTTTATGTTTCTTGTTCCTCTGTTTTTTGCTCTCCTCTGGATTACTTAGATCTTGCAGGGGGGCTTCCATTACTATTTCTCTATAGATTTTTGTAAAACTTATCTCTATGTATACTTTTATTTGTGTGTGTGGTTACTCTAGGTATGAAAATATACATATAGAACTTCTCACAGACTACTAGTACTTATGTTTTACTACATAAAATGTAGAAATAGTCCTCTCATTTAGTTATTTTACCCTCCCTACTTTAAACTATAATTGTCTAAAGTATTTCTTTAACATATATTGAACATCAGATCATGTTTTAATTTTTGCTTCAGATACCAAATATGATTTTAAAACACTATAAGGAATATGGTTTTTTACATCTGCCCAGCCCACTCTTCTTTTTTTTAAAAAAATTTATTTTTAGTTGTATTCGAACACAACACCCTTATTTCACTTCTTTTTTTCTTAAATTTTTTTAGTTGTAGTTGGACACAATACTTTATATTTATTTATTTTTATATGGTGCTGAGGATTGAACCCAGGGTCTCGAATGTGCGTCTACCGCTGAGCCACAACCCCAGCCCCACCCCCCACTCTTCTTTCTTTAACATTTTTCTTGCTTTTCTTTTTGAAATTCCAAGATTCCTTCTGTTATTGTTTCCTTTCAGTACAGAGAATGTCTGTAAAGCATTCTTTCAGAGCAGGTCAGCTGCTAACATGTTCTCCTAGCGTTCCTCTGTCTGGGAATGACTTCATTTTTCTTCATTTTCAAATGATATTTTCATTCAGTGCAGAGTTTGGCATTGACAATTCTTTTCAACATTTGGGAAATATTGAGCTATTTTCTTCCATCCTCCATGGTTTCAGATAAAAAATCTGCTATCATTTGAATTGTTCTTTTATGGGTAATGCATTATTTTTTCTACCTGTCTCAGAAATTTTTCTTAGCTTTTAGTTTTCAGAAGTTTAATTATGATATGTTTTGAGTGGGTTTCTTTATGTTTCTCCTGTTTGGGATTCATTCATCTTCTTACTAGGTTTATGCTTTTTATCAAATTTGGGGAATTTTCAGCCATTATTTTTTTCAAATATTTTTCCTGTCCTACACTTTATGCTCTCCTTCAATGACAAAAATATTAGATCTTGTTTTATTTTCCCACAGATTTCTGAGGCTCTGTACATTTCTTTCTCATTTGTTTTCTCTATCTTGGTCAGATGAGGTAAATACTATTGGTTTGTTTTCAGAATTTTTATGTCTCCTCTCCAACCAATTAATTGTCAGGTCCAATCAGTGTGTTTTAAATTTTGGTTATTGAATTTTTTATAGTATCCACTTGGTTCTTCTTATATTTTCCATTGCTTTACTGAGATTTTCTATTTTCTTTTGATTTGTTTCAAGAGTATTGAAATTGTTCACTGAAGCATTGTTATGGGATCTGTTTCAAAATCCTTGTCACATAATTTCAACATCTGAGACATCTCAGGGATGGGATTTGTTTGTCTTTTCTCCTTTCAGTCGCAATTTCCTTGGCCTTTGTTATTGCAAGTAATTTTAAAAACTGTATTCCAGACATTATGGCTACTATACTCTGTGACCCTGGGGTTTATTTAAATATTTATTTTAGAAATACTTTATTTTATACTATTTATGTATATTTATATGCTATATTTATTCAACATTTTATTTTAGCAAGCAGTGATCCATAGGTTAGTACTTGATTCTGGTCTACTTTTTGAAGGCTGTAGCTTCCTGTTTCAATTTTTTGTTGTTACTGATTTTTGGTACTGGGGATTGAACCCAGGGGTGCTTTACCACTGAGTTACATTCCCAGCCCTGTATTATTTATTTATTTATTTTATATTTTTAGACGGTCCCAATACCTTTACTTATTTATTTATTTTTATGTGGTGCTGAGGATAGAGCCCAGTGCCTCACACCTGTCAGGCAAATGCTCTACCACTGAGCTACAACCCCAGCCCCCCTTTTTATTTTTTTGAGCCAGGTTCTTGCTCAGTTTCTGAGGGTCTGGCTAGGTTGCTGAGGCTGGTCTTGAATTTGCAATCCTCCTGCCTCAGCCTCCCAAGTCATTGGAATTACAGGTGTGCACCATGACACCCAGTTCCAGTGACAGTTTGGTTTCCATGTCCTTGCATGCTCTTCTAGTCTGCTTTCTTGGTGTGATAGCTAACGGTTGCTCTGAAAACCTGTGTCTCCAATCTCTCAGCAAATTCACTGTGGTCAGTTTCTTGTGTGCATTGGTCAGCCATCAGCTCAGGATATCCTGGGCAGATTTAGAGAATCCCTTTCCCCAATTTTCTTGTCTCTGTAATCCTCCTGTCATTCCCTCTTTGGGAGGGTGCCAAGTAGCTCTGCCTGCCATGGTTGGGTGGGAAGTACAAGCACAGGCTTCCCACTTGGTTTCCACTGGTGCCATCCACAGGAAGGAAGCACTACTTTGGACATTATGATGCTGCTGGGCGGTGGATGGAAGTGCAGACTCCTCACCTGGCTAATGCAGCTGGTAGAGGTAAGGGAGAAAGTGCCACCTGTATCAATTGCTGTCCCTGTCCTGCCATAGCCCATCTGCTTCCACTGGGTGGGGTGGCTGCAGTCCTGAATGCCCACCTGGTATCTGGGGGCACCAGGCCTGTGGGAGAGGAATATATCACATCCTTTGCTGATTGCCTCTGCTGGCTGGAGGGAAGTCTCTCGACTCATTTTCTATGGATGGCATGTTGCCAGGGCAATAAAGTGCTGTCTCTAGGCTGCTTGTGCTGCCTGCTATTGTCTAGAGTCAGCCTGCTTTCCTCTTTGCATCTTTCATAGTCCATTTTGAGGGTCTTTGTTGTCCTTTGTGGAAGAAGCAGGGAGAAATGGGTCTGTAGCATCTTCTCTGAAACTCCGATGCAATTAACAACTCCTCCTCCTCCTCCTCCTCCTCCTCCTCCTCCACCTCTTCTTCTTGTCCTTCTCCTTCTCCTTCTTCTTCTCTTTTTTTTCTAGTTCTGGGGATTGAACCCAGGGGCAGTCTACCACTGAGCCACAGATCTTTTAATTTTGACAGAGGGTCTCATGAAATTGCTGAGGCTGGCCTCAAATTGTGATCTACTTGCCTCAGCCTCCCAAGTAGGTGTGTGCCACTGCACCTGGCTTCTGCTGTGGTTTTTATCAAAAAACGAATTTTTAAATTTTGATTAAAAATCTGATTTATGTGAGGCCCTGGGTTCAATCCTCAGCACCACATAAAAACAAATAAATAAAATAAAAGTATTTTAAAAATCTGATTTATGAATTTTTTCTATTATAATTTATGTCATATTTTGTGTCATATTTTAAGAACTTTTTGCCAAGCTCATTGTCACTGAGTTAGTTACCATATAATAAATTATGCTCAAGATTAGCATCTTTAAACAATAAACACTTTTATTACTTCACAGTTTCCATGCATCAGGAATGTGGGAGCAGCTTAGCTAGGTAGTTCTGGCCACCCAATCTTTCATGAGATTGCAATAAGCTGTCCCTTGTTTGTGGGGTTGTGGTCATCTTCAGGTTGGTGAGGGGAGTATCTGCTGCCAAGCTCATGTGTGAGATCGATGGTAACCCTCCTGCGCCTTACCACAAGGGCCTCTTCCAACAGCAAGGCAGCTGATTGCTCTCTTCCCTGGGAGTTTCATGCTGTGGCAGTTGGTGTTCCCTGCAAAGTAAATAACAGAGACAGACAGAGAACCCACAGTGAAAACTTCAGTCTTTTTATACACTAATCTCAGAACCGACATCCCACCACATCTGCTGTATTCTCTTTGCTAGAAGAGAATTTGGTACCAGGGATTGAACTCAGGGGACACTCAACTACTGAGCTACATCTCCAGCCCTATTTTGTATTTATTTAGAGACAGAGTCTCACTGAGTTGCTTAGCGCCTTGCTAAGTTGCTGAGGCTGCCTTTAAACTCACTATCCTCCTGCCTCAACCACCTGAGCTCAATGCTGGGATTACAGGCATGTGCCACCAGGCCTGGCTAAGCTCCACCTCTTGAAGGGAGGAGTGTCCCTTTAAAATTTGTGGACCATCCCTTTAAAACATACAGTTGCTAAGTTTCCCTACTATCTTTTCTTCCGAATTTTTTACTTCTTCCAGCAGTTTTATGCTTTTAGTTCTCCAACTTACATATGTGACCTATTTCAAGTTAACTTTTGGAAATGGTGTGAAGTAAAGGTTAGGCTCAAATTGTTTCGTATATGGCTGTTTCTTAAAAAAAGATTATGCTTTCTCCATTGAACTGCCTTTGTTGACCATTAATTGACCATTGCTATAGTTTGGATCTGGAATGTCAACCAGAGTGTTAAAAGCTTTGTCTCAGGGTGGTGCTGTTGGGAGATGATAAAAACTTTAGGAGGTATGTAGCCTGGTGGGAGATCACTGGGGCATGCCCTTTAAAGGGGATGCCTCAATCATCTTCTTTTTGTTTCCCAGTTTTCTGCTTTTTAAGTTGATTTACCTCAGGTACTTGACAGAGTAACGGAAGGCTGACAAATAAAAGCTTATATGATTGGGTCTATTTCTGTGCTTTCTATTTTTTTCCTTCTTTTTATGGATCTTTAGATCGATATCATACTGTCTTGATTTCTACAACTTTATAATAAGTCTTGAAATCAGGTAATGTAAGTTCGTTCTTAGAGCTATTTTGGCCACGATAGGTTCTTTACATTTCCATATCAATTTTAAAATAAACTTGCCAATCTTAACTAAAGAGCTTGCTGGGATTTTGATTAAAATTGCAGTAATCTTTGCCAGGTACACACAGGGAGGACTGGCATTACTGGCTACTGGGTCACACCTTTATTAGGTGTTCACCTTTATTAGGTCAAGTCATGCTGTGTTCTAAAATGATCGCAACCTACTCACATTTCCAACAGCAGTGACTGCAAGTTCTTTCCCCTACGTCTTAACACTCTATGTTGGTAGAGGTTTTGCTAATCTAGTGGGTGTGGGATTGCATATCATTGTTTTAATTTATATTTTCTTGATAACAGATGAGGTTAGGCATCTTTTCACAGTTAATGGGTTTTCTGGTTCCTTTCTAGGAAGACCTGCTCTAGGTTTTAATTTGCTGAGTTGAATCTTGGTTCATGGATTTTTTTTTCCAAAAAGGACATATATTCTGGGTATAAATCCCTTTTCAGGTATATGCATTGCAAATACCCTCCGTATCATTGTTGATTTGCTTTCTTTCTCCTTATGAAGTCTTTAAAAGAACATAATTTTAATGTAAATTTCATTTTTTTTTATTATGAATTAGTTAATTTATTTTTGGTGCTGGGGATTGATAGGGCCTCATGCAGGCTAAGCACGTGCTATACCGCTGAGAGACCTCCACCCCAAACGTGGACAATTTTTAGAAAAAACAATCTTTTCCTTTTTACCTTATGCTCGTTTTGTCTTAACTCTCTTTCCCTCTTAACTCTCTTTCCCTCTTAACTCTCTTTCCCTCTCCGGAGTAGACGTGAGATTCGCCTTTATGCCCTTTGAGTTTCTTTGGGATGCTTTCCATATTGAGGCTTGCAGATTTTCACAGTTCACAAGTGTCCCTATCCCCACACCTCTGGGAGGCTGGACAGCTGCCTTTGTTGCTCAGGTGGAAATGAAGCCCCGGGAGCCAGCAGCCCATTCAGCTTGGAACCTGCGATGACTTGTTTCACCGTCAGGGCAGGGGCGCGGAGACGGCCGGCAGGTGTCGCCCTATCCCGCGCCCCGCCTGCCGCCTCTCAGGCACCCGGGAGCTGCTTCTTACTACGTCACCCTGGACTCTGCGTCCCTGGATCCTATCTTCACAATGCGCCCTGCCCTCGGGGCTTTTATGATTAAAGATCATCTTGCCAACAGCTTCTTTCCGAGCCAGGTTCTCGGGGTCCCCGCGCTCCCTACTGCCTTGGGCTTGGCCTCAGGCTGCGCTGCGCTTGGAAACTCCCCTTTTCAGACTTCAGCCTCCATAGGTAGCGAGGAGTCCAGGGTTTTGTTCTAGTGACACCTGCATACGTTTAGAAAACTTCAAAGGTGCAGAAAAAGGAAAAAATACTCTATAGTTCCAAAAATAGTGTATTTCCCTTCTTTCTGCAGAGCGATTCTTTTAAACACTCACTGCAGTACCCACTGTGTCCCCAACAGCGTGAGAAGTCCCCCCAGCTCCGGGAGGCTCCCTGACCCTGCAGACAGACCGACCGGACCTTGGCTTCTCTGTCAAGTGGCTTTTCCGTCCGGGGTTCTCTGCGGGCCACCACCAGAGCCCCCTTCACGCCCCAGAGTCGCGTTCACCGCAACTGACCCACACGCTTTCTTGGGACGATGGCCGTGTGATTCTCCTGCCTCATCCTCCGAGTCGCTGGGGTTCCACGATGGTCACCACTCCTGGTAAACGGGTTTCTTTCAGTTTATGTGAATGTCACGCATTCATGGGGTCCCTGGAGCGTGGATCTCTGTGCCTATGCTCTCTGCTAGGGGCGACCCCACAGCTGGGCGCTTGGTACAGGACCCACCTCTGCTTCCCGCCGCGTTGCCCTTCCCTGATTCCTGCGGGTCTCGGAGGCTGAAGGGGCCAGTGGAAAAGTAGGTGGGGGGGGGGGGGAGAGACCCAGCTCTCTGGCTCTGCAGCGCTCTGTTCGGAGGGAAGCACCGAGCCCTCTGCTGGTCAGGGTGCAAACCCCCATCAGTCTGCGTGCTGAGGACACCACCGCCCTGCCTCTGCACAGGTGAGCTTAGTTCCACGTGGAAATCACCGTGGGACAGGCAATCAGGGTGGGCGTCCACCAGGCCCACCTGTCCCGGGATGTTTTGGTACCAGGGTTGATTGAATACAGGAGCGCTTAACCACTGAACTACATCCCCAGTTGTTGTTGTTGTTGTTCTTTTTCTTCTTCTTATTATTTTATTTTGAGACAAGGTCTCCCTAATTTGCTGAGGCTGGCCTCGAGTTTGCAATCCTCCTGCCTCAGCCTCCTGAGCTGCTGGGATTACAGGATTGCCACCACTCTCAGCCAACTATTCACTTTGAATCGATGCATATCTCTTTCTCAAATGCCTACATTATTGTCCTATAGATACTTTGTTAAGAGGTTTGGACCAAACTACTTAATAAACAAACTACTTAATACTTAAGAGTTTGTTTCCTTTGTCCTAGGCAGTGCTGAAAATTGTCTGAGACACCTAGGCCTCCATGAACTGAGGGAGTTTTGGGGCCTCTGCTTTGTAAATGAAAAAATTAACATCTGCCCTCAGAGGCACAGATGTGTGTGGCTCCCTAGTTACCACTAGACAAGTAGGATACCAAAGGGGCCTGATACCAGGAAAGACAGGGCAGCGGTGACCTTCCATTTTGCCCTTATTCTGCTGGACCACTAACAAATGGCAGCATCTCTTCTCTGAAAACCAAACTCCAGAAAGGGATTTTCCGTGTGGTTTTATCTGGACCCAAGCAGTATTGCTGAGTCAGTGAGGTCTTAGCTGGGCCTGAGAAAGTGGGGGAAACAAGCCCAGGCAGCTGGTACACATCTGTAATCTCAGTTACTCTGGAGGCTGCCGGTAGCAAGGTAGCAAGTTAGAGGCCAGACTGAGCAATTTCCAGAGACGTTGTCTCAAGATTAAAATAAAGAAAAAAGACTGGGGAGCAAGGCATGTGGGGTTTGCCTGTCACCCGAGTGACTCAGGAGGCTGAGACAGAGAATTTCAAGTTCCAGGCCAGCCTCAGCAACTTAGCAAGACCTTACGCAACTTAGTGAGAACCTGCCTCGAAATAAAAAGAGCTGGGAGGGCTGGGGATCTAGCTCAGTTGGTAGAGTGCTTGCCTTGGATGTGCAAGGCCCTGGGTTCAATTCCCAGCACCACACACACACACACACACACACTAAAAATAAATAAAAATAAAAAATAAAAATAAATAAAAAGAGCTCAGTGGTTAAGCACCCCTAGGTTCAATCTCTGGTATGGAAAAAAAAAAAGACGAACTGGGCATGTAGCTCAGAGATAGAGTGCTTCTGGCTTTAATTCCCAGCATTGAGGAGAAAGAATAAATAAATAAAAAGAAAGAAAAAGTAAAGAAAGTGTGAAAAACAACAGGACATGGATTTGTCAAAGGCTTTGCACTGACCTGCACAGCTGTGGGGCTCTGTGATGTCAGTAAGAAAAAGGTCCAGGTCTTTCCAGGGCTGTGCATCAAAACCCTTCAAAAGCCCGGGGACAGAGTCTGTTAAAATTTGAGATGCATCTGTCCTCAGACCCAGCAGCCCCACTCTGGGCAACTGTACCTAGAAGTACAACTGTACATACTTCTATGTACACTTGGTATTGGTATTGTACTTGGTATTAATCAGCTTTTTTGGTCAGCTTTTTTTCCCCACCATGACCAAAAGACATGCTAAGAACTGTTTTAGAGGAGGAAAAGTTTATGTGGCATTCATGGTTTCCGAGGTCTCAGTCCACAGACAGCCACGTCCATTGCTCTGGGTCTGAGGTAAGGCAGAAACCATGGTTGGAGTGTGTGGAGGGGGGAAGCTGCTCAAGACATGGCAATCAGGAAGCAGAGAGAGTTCTGCCTACCAAGGACAAAAGATAAACCCCAAAGTCATGCCCCCAGTGACCTACCTCTTCCAGCTACAACCTACCAACCTCTAGTTATGGCCCAATTAACTCATAGCAGTGGATTAATCCACTGATTAGGTTAAAGCTTTTATAACTCAATTATTTCACTCCTGAAAATTCTTGAATTGTCTGTCACAAGAGCTCTTGGGGGACACCTCATATTTAAACCATAATAAAACTCAAGTAGGTGAGGCTGGTATACAGGGAAGTTACTACTGACCTCAACTTAGTAGCAAAAGGCCTGCCCATCACCAAGGACTGAATATAAGTAAGTTACGGTCTATTAGGAACTATAGACTATTGGGGTACTATGTAGAGAATGGAGGAAAATATGGAGGATATGTGGGATATGATAGGTTACTGATATAGAGAATGTGAGAGCAGAGAGGTAGATGGTAGAAGAAAAATGAAACAGAAAGAAAGTAAATCCAAACAACATCCACATTTCACGCATATTTATAAGGTAGCACATACATGCATACAGACTCTTTATGGCAGAATGGGTTTACATGAAGTTGCATCACAAAACATAGAGGTGGACAGGGCGTGTAGTTTCTTGGTAGAGCATGTGCTTAGCATGTGTAAGGCCCTGGGGTCAGTTGCCATTGTGCACACCCCCACCCACGAATGTAGTGGCATAAAAACAATCACAGTTTATGCCCACAGAGTCTGTGCATCTGTTGCTTGGGGAAGACTCAGCTGGGCAGGTTGCGCTTGGCATCTGTCACTAAAAGCCACAGTCATTTGAAGGCTCTGCTGGGGCTGGAGGACCCATTCCAAGGTGGAGCACTCATGAACAGAGCTGCCTATTGCCTTCTCTGTGGATCTACTTGGTATCTTTGTGGCAATGTTTAGGGTGATCTCAGAAGAACCATTGTGGCTTGAAATAATCATAGATAATAATAAATGCATAGGTGTGGCCATGCTCCAATAAATCACCCACAAAATCAGGTTATGAGCCAGATTTGGTCCGCGAGCTGTGATTTGCCAACTATTGGCAGGGCTTCTTGCAGGCCAGACTTTGGACTTTGGCTTATTCTCTGAGAAATGGGGAGGATCAGTGGAAAAACTTAAGCAAAGAAATAACCCGGCATGGCTCAGTATAAACAAGGCCATTCTGGATGCTGAATGGAGGAAACAGAGAGGCCCAGAGGGAAGCTGGGAGGCCAGAAGGGAGACTCTTGCCATGGCCTCATGGACCAGAATGGTGGTGCCGGAGGTGAGAAGCGATGGGTTCCTTAGGTGTGCTTTGAAGCTAGACACAGATTGGTTGGTCGACTGTTTCACTGAGGGAAACAGAAACAAAACACAAATCAAGACACCCCATTAGCACTGGGCCCTATGTGGTCAGCCTGAGCCTGGGGCTAAGGGCTGGGAAACTTAGCAGGTGAACGTTGAGTTGATCATTCTCAAGTGCTGACAGGGCAGCTGTGGCCGGAAATGGAGTGAGATGGAGCAATTCTAGCCAAGAGGGAGAAAGTGTGTGCAGAGGGCCCAGGTGCTGAGGACTGGATTCCTGGTGTGTGTGTGTGTGTGTGTGTCCATATAGAGGGGCCAGCAGGTCAGCCACTCCTGCAAGAGCTGCCTTTTGTAGCCCATAGGGGCACATTGATGTGCCGTCCAATTTGGGCAAACCACACTAGCCAATCCTTGGTCCTGCAGCTCTGTGGATAGAAATATGTCAGTTTGTAAGTCAAAATGAAGTTGTAGAGTCAGGTGTGGTGGTGACTCAGGAGGCTGAGGCTGGAAGATCTCAAGTTTGAGGCCAGCTTGGTAACTTAGTGAGACCCTGTCTCAAAATAGAAAATGAAAAGGACGAGGGATGTAGCTCAGGGGTGAATCTCCCCTGGGTTAAATCTAGTTGTGCGTTTTGCAATTCAAGCTGCAACTTCTAGTCAGTGTTCTGCTTAAATAAAACTGCAGCATCAGTTTCCCCGCCCCCCCCCCCCAACTTCTTCCAAAAATTTCCTTTTTTTGTTTTTTCTTGATGGTGCTAGGGATAAAACCTAGGGCCTTACACTGTCACTCTACCACTAAGTTTCACTCCCAGCCCCATGAAGAATTTCTAATGCATATAAAATTTGAAAGAATAATTCAATAAAACACCATACAATCCAGTATCTAGATTCATCACTTAATTTTGTCAGATTTAGTTCTTCTATGTAATTTCAGCTAAAACAAGAAGGTTGAGAAGAATCATTGCTAAACAAAAGTTCACTTTTCCCAGGCATCAAACAAAAAAAAAATAATTGAAAAAAATAAGATGTGATACATTCAGATTTTTATTTCCATAGTAATATAAAATTCTGAGGACTTGATTTGAACCTCCACTGCTACGAGATTGGATATACAAACAGACAATGGCCAGATCATATATGAAAATAGAACTTGGACTTGAAGCTGCAGTAACAAACCAGGAAATCTACCCATCACTTATAGTAACCAGCCTAGGAATCCACCTGGTTATCTATAACATAGCATACAGTGCAGGAAACTAAACTATAACCACTGTAACAGTCATCCCCACATGGCCAGGATTTGATTAGTAACCTCATGCTTCCCTAAATTTTGACCCCTTTTCCAATTTGGGACCAATCAGAGAAGGCCAACGTGGATCCTGGGCTGGGGCTTTAGCTCAGTGGTAAAGCGCTTGCCTGGCATGTGTGAGGCACTGGGTTTAATCCTCAGCACCACATAAAAAATGAATAAGTAAAATACAGGTCTTGTGTTCATCTGCAACTAAATATATATATGGATCTCTAGCCCATCCTAGAATGTCCTGCTTCTAGTGAGCAGCCTCCAGCCTCCCCAGTCAGCAGCCTCCAGCCAGGGCACCCCTGGAGCTGTCTCTTTCCCACTGTGATGCTTCCTTAACCCTCTGTCTGCCTTCAGAGACTCTGCCAAAGCACAGGTGAGGGTAGCTGACTCCCTTGCTATTGTCAGCTCTGGAGAGGTAAACTTTGCTCATCTCATTTGGTTCATCATCTTTGATTTCCACAAGGGGATTATAATTTCCTTCTGG